GTGGGGAGGGAGAGAGAGAGAGAGAGAGAGAGAGAGAGAGAGAGAGAGAGAGAGAGGCAAAAAAAGACTGGACGCCGAGGCGATTCACGTTCGCGAGGGCCATCAAGACTCTCGCGCGCAGGGCTACAAAGCAGACGGAGAGCGCTTTTATGCCCCCTCTCACTACCTCTCACTCTCTCTCTCTCTCTCTCTCTCTCTCTCCCGCGGCTCAGGCCTGTGAGAAATCTCTTCTCTACTCCGCGAACGGAGCAACCATCCAACTACCGTATATACCTATACGTATTAACCTCCGCGGAAACGCGGAGGCGCATAGGTTCTCTCTCTCTCTCTCTCTCTCTCTCTCGTTCCTCCGAATTCCACTGGCACAAGAGTATTTTTATTATTACGAACTCGTGGAGAGCTGCGAAAAATTCTTTTGCAACGCACGCGCGCGGAAGGAGCATTATGTCTTTTCTTCAATTCTCTCGAATTACCGTAAAAATGTTATATAGCTCGGCGCTCAGACCAAAGACCCGAGTCTCATCGCGTGCGAGCGTTACGCTACGCGCTTACTCCCCCCCCCCGCCGCCCCTTTACCACCCAATCCCACCGCTGACCACCATTGTACATCCCACCCTCTCTCCCACCCGCCCTACACTATCTACTCACCCTACCTACCTACCTATCTACCTACCTAACTACCTAACTACCTACCAGATTTCCTCCCTACGTCCCCCATTACCGCGCAGATTGCGAGTACCGTACGCAGCCTCGTCGTCCATCGGCGGGGCTCCGGCGATGCGCGCGCGGTACACTTATACTAATGACCGAGTGGCATTTCGAATGTGGCAGACTCTGCCTTGAAATATAAATTCGATTCGCGGCTGGGGGAGGGCCCGTTATTGCGCCGGGGATCCCTGTTGGCCGTTGTGTCAACGGAGCGGCCTCTCACGGCCATAAAAATCTAGGCATTTCAAACGAAATCAAAAGCGCCTTTTAATACGGACCGACCGTCGCCCCTTCCTACCCCGGATCCCTCATCGGGCCACACCTCCCCCCCCCCCCCCCGCCCCCACACTCCCTCTCTCTCTCTCTCTCTCTCTCTCTCTCTCTCTCTCTCTCTCTCTCTCTTACTCTCTCCCTCACTCCCTCTCTCTCCCTCCCTCCCACCCTTTATCTATCTATCTATCTATTTCTGTATCTCCAACACCGCCAACACCGCCAACACCGCCAACACCGTCAACACCGCCAACACCGTCAACACCGCCAACACCGCCAACATCGCCAACATCGCCAACATCGCCAACATCGCCAACACGGCCAACACTACCGTCACCGATGACTCTCCTATTAAGACATTTGATCCCGCGCACGAGATAATTCCGAAAATAAATATCAGTGCGCTCGTTGGGATGAAAAACCCGTTTTTCTGGGCCGTGATGCGATCGCCTTTTTAAAAATAAAAGAGAGGAGGACCGGCGGCGAATGGACTTGTGCTTACGAATACACGCGGCTCCTCCTTTTGCTCGTTCGTACGCTCGATCGTTCGTGCGCGAGGCCCGAGGGAGCTCGAAAAGGTGAAAATAGAAGTCCATACATCTTGACTGGGAGCACCGAGGTGCGGAGTGTCGGCGATAACCCGGGACGGGAATTGCGTCAGCCGATAATGACACCGCGGCCAACGAAGATCAGGAAACAAAGAGGAGTATCGGCGGGTTTAGCGCCGGGGCGAGATTAGGAAAGTGGGAGCGCGGTTACGAAATGATGAGGGTACGTGGGACCGAGAGGTAAGCGATATCGCTACCGTCCACGCCGACCGAATTGCTTTTCTGCGCGTCCTTTTTTCATTTTTTTTTTTTTTTTTTTTTTTTTTTTTTTTTTTTTTTTTTTTTTTTTTTTTTTTTTTTTTTTGTTTTTTTTTTCTTTT